ACCCCACAAATTGCTCTGGTGGAATTCCTTTCCCTCAGGGGCTTTATTTTTATTTATTTATTTATTTATTTATTTATTTATTTATTTTTATTGATTTTTATTGATTTTTTACAGAGAGGAAGAGAGAGGGATGGAAAGTTAGAAACATCGATGAGAGAGAGACATCGATCAGCTGCCTCTTGCACACCCCTTACTGGGGATGTGCCTGCAACCAAGATACATGCCCTTGACTGGAATCGAACCTGGAACCTTTCAGTCCGCAGGCTGACGCTCTATCCACTGAGCCAAACCGGTCTCGGCTCCCTCAGGGGCTTTAAGTAAAAGATGGTCCTCACTCTGGATAATTCCTCCAAAGGTTAATCTGTAGGCAGAGCTCTTTTTTGGCAGTCTCAGGATTTCTGAAAATGGTTTTTCTTTCTTTCTTCCTTTTTTTTTTTTTTTTTTTAAGGCTTTTATTGAGAAATCAGTTATACAGAGAGAAGTTTAACTTTTTTTTAAAAAAATTGATTTTAGAGAGAGAGGGAAGAAGTGGGAGGGAGAGAGAAATATTGATCTGCTGCCTGCACTCCATTGGGGATAAAGGCCACAACTTGGACATGTACCCTGACTGGGAATTGAACCCTCCGAAAGCAGTGTAGGAGACAACACTCAACCCACTGAGCCACACTGGCCAGGGTTGCCTTTGTTCTCTAAATTGGAACACCATTTGCCTGAATCAAGGCCTCCTGATTTTTTATTTATTTTCTTAATCTCAAAGATATGCTTGTTGCCACTCACTATGAAAGGCCTTTTATTTTTAGGTTAGCAAGTCATGAACATCTTGAAACAACTGCTACTTGGACTTTCTGTCTCTCTCATTTGCACACTGGAACTAGCCAATCCCTGTGAACCTAGCCAGCAATCATTCGCTTGCATTTTGTGGTTTTTGCCTTTATGGACCCTGCCTTTCTGTGTTCTCTCCAAAGTGCAGTTTGAGTTGCTATATGAATCTATGTTTCTTGGATTGCAATCCTTTGCTCAAATAAGTGCTTTTTGTTTCTTATTATAGTCTAAATCTCTTCTTTGGTTAACAGAACCATGGCTTTAAAGACTGAAAGTTGCACTATATTGATGGCTCATATTCAGATATGGTATTGCTGGTTGTGGTGTAATTCTCTGAATGGTGGGTGAATAGCTTTAAAACTTGAACAACAGCCCTAATTGGTTTGGCTCAGTGGATAGAGCATTGGCCTGCTTTCTAACTCTCTATCACTCTCCCTTCCTCTCTGTAAAAAATCAATTAAAAAATATACCTATCTATATCTATATCTATATCTATATCTATATCTAATCTATATCCTTGAATAACATATAAAACTTGATAGCTGCATTCCTGAAAAATTCGGTGTGTATGGGCCTGACATAGTAGTTGATAAATATTCAAGGAATAAATTAAAATAATTGAAAAATCAAACATGCTTTCACATGTGATTGTAAAGCCCAAATTATAAGCATGTTTTTTATACGTGTGTGTGTGTGTGTGTGTGTGTGTGTGTGTGTGTGTGCCCTTCAGCCTCTAAATACCTGCAGTGAGCCCATTATTGAAACAAGGAAAAGTAAGTCATTAATTTACCAAATTTCTCTTTAAGAAACATTGCCTTAATTGACAACCACCCTTGTAGAGTTGTTGTTCTAATAACTAGGGTAAAGAGGAGGCGGGGACAACTCCCCTCCCCGCCACCCAACCCCGCCCTTCCCTTTTCTCAGAAAGCAGGCGACTTCAGAGAAACCGGAAACTAAGGGACTGGGAAGTCCCGTTTTCTAACTTATAACAGCACTTTTTGCCCAGAGACCAGTAACGATCACACCGGGCTCGAGTTTTGATTGCGCCGTTGAAAAACTAAAATAGCGAGTTAAAGGGGGAACACCCGGTGCCTTCTGCCACCCGGCTGGTGGGAATAATTGCCGGGACTCCTCGCTCGGAGACTTACTTGAGCTCCGTTCTTCGCTGGGCACCGCTGCCAGCGTGGGCACGGTCAAGGTGGGTACCCCCCCCCCCAACCCCCCCCGCGTCCTCCTCTCCCTCCGCATCTCTCTTCCTGCCCCTTCTTCCTGGCCCTGGGGCTCCGGCCATCCCCGCCAGGTCCTGCCCGTTCGGGATCCTTCGGGATCAGACAAGGAAGCCACGGAGAGGCCGGAATGGGTAGCTACCTGGGTAGGGGGAGAGGAACAGCACAAAATATTTAGTTTTTTGATGAGCCGCTGGGTGCGTGAGTGGGGTTGGGTGTGGTGGGCACTGCTTTCGGGGCTGCGCAGCCTGCTCCCCGAGGGTTCGCTTTCCCTGGGCGCATGAGGAGGGGGAGAGGCAGGTGCGTCCCGAAAGGCAAATACCTGAGTGGTTGAGAGTGTCAGCGTACGAAGCATTCAAACCTGTAGAGAATTTTTGTGAGTTTGTTTGAGCCAAACTGCCAACAATTGCTGAGAAGCAAAATCTCTACAAATTGAGAAAATGGTCCAGAGAATGGTAGTTTGGCATCTTGTTTTATACATTACGATCAAAAGAGGAGGCATAAGTGGGTTACATGAAATCCATTGGTGATAGATTAGGGAGGTAGGGGAAAGCAGGTGGTGGTGGGAACCTCTGGGACTGGATTAAAAGTAAAATGATAGACACATCTTTACATAGGTGGGTAAGGACAGTTAACTGCAGTGAACATGATCTCAGTAACAATGAGAGGATTTGTGGTCTCATGCCCAGTTGCATTGGCTGTGCCCTAAGAAGTCTGGAATCCCAGACCTTACCCTGACATTCCAAAAGCATGTTATGGAAGATGCCAAAAGACAATAGACAGGCTTAATGACGGTAAAGATTGACTTTTGTCAGGGAAGATTCTAGCCTAGAACATGACTATCTGCCACAAACTGCTTTTAGTTAAAAACTGTTAATTTCAGACCATCCTATGTGGTTACTTTTGGCTCTTGAATTTGTAAGGCTGCCATGCAGGCCTTCCCTGGGCTTGTCAGGTTTAGTATGTGGCCCCTTTTCATCCACAAGGGTAGTGATCCCGTGAGAGGCAGGTGTCGGTGGGAAAGTATCGATATTGCCTAGGTAAGTGTGTCAGTGCATCTGATGGAGCGCTGAGCACTGCACCCTCTTCTGGGCTCACCCCGTTTTCCTCTCGAGCTCCACACTTCTTCAACCAGGCTCTAAGATTTGTGTCTCAATCCAGATTTGTGTCAGCTGTTTTGTATAACATTTCTATGACAGCTTGTGTGTTTATTTTGGCAAAAGCCTTATTGAGATATAATTCACAAACTATACAATTTACCTATCTTAGTATATAATCCAGTGGGTTTTTAATATATTCACAATGTTGTGTAACCATCACTTCAATTTTATTGATTTGTTTTTGTTTTTCAGAAAAAGAGGAAGGGGGAGAGAGAGAGAAACAGCCATGTGAGAGAAAAACATCGATTGGTTGCCTCCCATCGATTGGTTGCCTGCAACCTTTTGGTGTATGGGAGGACACTCCAACCAACTGAGCTACTTAGCTAGGGCCCATCACCTCAATTTTAGTACATTTACATTACCCCCAAAAGAAACCCTATATCCATTAGCAGTTACTCCCATGTCTCCCCATGGATTTGCCTGTTACTGACATTTCATATAAATGGAAGCATACAGTAAGTGGTCTTTGTGATTGACTTGTCACTTAATATGAAGTTTTCAAAGGTCATCCATACCATAGCAAGTATCAGCACTTTATTCCTTTTTCTGTTAAACAATTCCCCCTTGTCTGGATATGCCACATTTTGCTTTTTCATTCATCAGTTAATGGACATTTGAGTTGTTTCCACTTTCTGTGATTATGAATAATGCTGTTGTCAATATTCATATGCAAGTTTTCCATGTGAACCTACGCTTTAAATTCTCTTAGGTATAAACCTAGGAGTGGAATTGCTGGGCCATCTGGTAACTCTATGTTTAATATCTGAGGAACTTCCAAACTGTTTTTCCAAAGCTGTCACGTCATTTTACATTCCCATCAGAAGTGTATGGGAGTTCCAATTTTTCTGTATCCTTGCCAACACATTATCTTTTATATTGTTGCCATCCTACTCACTATGAAATGGCATCTGATTATGGCTTTTATTTGCATTTTCTTAATGACTAATGATACATTATTTTAAAATTACAAAATAATTTATAGAGCTTTCATAAAGTTTTAAGAACTTTAACCTTCTAGGTCACGTACCCAAAAGCCACAGAGAGTAGACTCAAACCAAACTCTCTGTGATGGGTGCTTGAACTCCATCCCCTCTTTCCTGGAACAGAATCTGGGCCAAAACTCTTCAAAACTCCACTTGTGCCCCTTGTAGAGAATTATGGGAAAGATGAAGCTTTTGTGCTAGACTTAATAGTTAGTTCATTTCTTAGTTGCTATTAGAAACTCAAATATGCACAGAACTTTTTGGTCTCTCCATTTTTACAGTGTACCCTGGAATTCCTCCTAATGGATCTTGAGTGAAGTTGTGAGCTTTTCTTGGTGCTTATGATTGTGTGACGTAGCCTAATGATTGTGTGCTTTTCTTCCCATAAGGCATTTTGGATCATGTGTGCCCTTCTCCCTCCACCATCTGGACATGGAATAAGGAGGGACACAAAGCTTAGGCTTTGTTTCAATGTGTAACTCTAAAAAATGTTTGATATGCATGTTCTTTATATATCTATACATTTTATACCACTAACCATCTTGCTTTAAATATTAATAAAGCTCTTTTTCTCCTTTCTCAGTTAAAAATTCAGTTTTATAAGTGGCTCCCAGAAGATTCACACCTCCTGACCCCCGTGGGAGCACAGGAGTTGTGCAGGTGGAGCCAGGACCGGAACCTGAACCAGATAGACTCGAAAATCTGGACTTTAAATTCTTATGTAAGTCAGAGAAGGACTGATCACATCTGTGAGACACTGAGGACTTCTAACATTCACTGAAAACTGAGGACTGGGTCCAAAAAGCACAATGAGTGCAAGTACATGCGATGGTAGAGTGGTGAATTCTAGACAAGCTCGAGAATTTTGTACAGCTGGGGGTGGAGGCCCAGCTCCCGAGATGGTCTTGGAATCAAAACTGATAGAACTCGGAGAGAGTGAGGAAGTGGTTGACCTCACCTCTGACTCTCTAGAACCTGCAGTGATTGACCTAACTGACCATGACGCTGTTGTGATTGTTGAGGAAAGGAGGAGGCCAAGGAGACTCACAAGGCCATTGAGAAGACAAGCTGGCATCTGTGTGGTGAGCAGCGACAAGAAGCGGGTGATGAGAGACAGAGATGTATATGTGACCAACAGTGCTTCCCACAATGCCCTGGAAAAAGAAACACTACCTGGTTATATCCAGTGCCGGATTTGTATGGATGGGTACTTGGAGATGGAATTGAGTAGACGACACATCTATTCTACAGCTTGTGGCCACATCTTCTGTAGTCAGTGCCTCTGCACTTTCCTTAGAAATACTAAAAATTGCCCAGTTTGTTTGAAAAAAATTGACCGCCATCAGTACCACCGCATTTATATATAACGTGTGCTGTGTTGCTCAGGATAGACAACCCCTTGACTGGATTTTTCCATGTCCTTGTGCAGAAACTATGGAGTTGTTGGTGTTCAATGCTCTGAGCTCCAAAAGCCTGATTTTAAAAATTATTCTCTGGAGTGCATGAAAACTCTTTTATTGTTCACAAATGACGAGACTGCTTTTTTATTCCTTTGGCTTCATGCTTGCAGGCCTGGACTTCTGTTGCTATAGTGAATCAGAGACTGGTGGTTGTCCTCATAGCAATTTTCCCTTTTTTTCTCATAGAAATCAATTTTTAACTGGTCACATGTGGGCATTTTGGATCATGTAAATAAGAGCAACATCCTAGAGACGGGGGAGCAGGCAAATGGAAGGAAGCTGGGAGACTGACAACTCCGAAAACCAGAGCCACAAATATGAGTTTGGACTTTTATGAGATAAATAAATAAACTTCATTCTTGTTTAAGCAACCATTATACTGGGTCTTGTTTAGAGCAATCGAGCCCTTATTTTAATTAATGGACTAGGCAGGATGCTGTCTCTGGCTTTCTCTGGATTTCCTGATTCCACTGAATGGAAGGAAGTCAATCCTTCCTGTCCAACCAGCAGGGTGGAGTTGGGTATTAACCTGGGCAGGCACCAGGTCCTGCTGGGACCGGTGATTTTCAAGGTCGGCCTGGGGGGTTGCCTAGGCACACTGAAATCTAGAGCTGTGGTTCTGTGCTCTCTGACCTGCCAAGCCAGAGGGGGCTGCCTTCACCCTCGCTTTACAGGAATGACTACCTTCTACTGCGCTGATGAGCTGATCAACAAGATGGCCTGCTTCTCTGAACAAGCACTCACTGCCTCACCATCCTACTGCTCCAGCAGCCTGCTAGGTCACAGGCCTTGGGAAGACCTCCTCCCCCCGCCCCCCCCCCCCAATACACACACACACACACACACACTAGCTCTTGTTCCTTTTGCCGAGAATCACTTAGCACTTAGAATTGGAGAGGGTGTGATTTCCATGGTGCTCTTTCCTTTTCCTTCAGAATGAAAAGTGCAGTAAGGTTTGTTCCTTACAATGGTAGTAGCAGTGTTGCTTTCTTCCATGGAGGCTGCCTTGCCAATGGAGCAGTGCCCATCCCTGCATCATGTCTGTCTACTCACTGCAATCTCTGGAATGTCCTATACTCAGGACCTCAGTGCTTGACTCAGCACAGAAAATGCAAGATAAATGTGGTATACTCTCTTTGTATGCTCTGAAATGAAATGAGGAAGAAAAAAAACATGAAAATGAAAAATAATAGAAGAACGTTCTAACTATTATCTTCTTACATTTCAATAGATCATCTTATGAATCTCACTTTGGAGAGTATTAGTTGCTCTGTGACATAGCACAGTATATCACATACTATATTTTTCTGTATATAAGACACTTCCTTGTATAAGACACCCTCTACTTTTCCAACCCAAAGTTAAGAAATCAATATTTTAAACATAAAACAGAACACGTTTTTATTTAGTAATTACCACAGGTAATGTTTACATGCCAGTACTATGATATTATGCAGCATATCACTTTATTCAGCCTCTGTTGCAACACTTCTCTCTTCATCATCACATTTAGTTCCAAACATCAATTTCTTGAACTTCTATTGTATCACTGCTGTCTTCTGAGTCACTGTCTATATATATGAGACCATCCTCATAAACTGGTGGCATTTTCTGAGCTAACTTTGTGCTCTCTTGGCCAACTCTTCCCTCCTCATGAAATTGCCTTTCCTGTAAAATCAACAATATTCATTTTGCTTGCAAACATTCTTGCCTGACATTGCATAAGCTTGGTTGACACACATAAGCCACTCTGGCGCTGCTCCATAATCCAAGTCTTAAGCCTCTGCTTCAAGTTTTCCCCTTTTGCTGGTTTTCCTTTTAAGGTCTTCTTCTTTTTTTGGCATCTTAAAGAGTTGTTCTTCCTGTTTTTTCCACTGTCAGATCATGTATCAGTCGGTGGAGGTCCAAGTTGTCCCTCCAAAGCTCTATTTCCATGCTCTTTTGTATAGATGATTATATTCAGTTTGAATTTTGCAGAGTAAGACAAACACTAGTATTTATCTTACTATTTTTATTTTATTTTTGATATCTTTATGGGCTCAGAATCATTGGCCCCCATTGCATCCGTGCACTCTCCACCTCAGTGACAATACGCCCCGTGATTGGAGGAAGCCTTTTGACAAGGTGTGGGCAGCTATGCACCTCCCTCCCTCCTTGGCTGCCTTCCATGTATAAGATGCCCCTCTATGATGCAGGGATGGGCACTGCTCCATCGGCAAGACAGTCTCCGTGGAAGAAAGCAACACTGCTACTACCATTGTAAGGAACAAACTTTACTGCTTATTTCATTGAATGGAAAAATATGGCAGTTGACCAATAATCAAAACACCTGAGGTGCCTATTAAACACAGATCCTGCTCCTGCATTTACTGTCCATGTGCCCGGGATAAAGAGCACATTCTCTCCAGTTTGGAAGCAGCCCTCAGCCCACTACAAATGTGCCTCACCTGCCAAGTTCATGCAGACATTTGAGACTTTGATATTTGGTTTAAGGGGAAAAATAGAATTCTGACTCTAAAGAATTAAGATAAATTTTATAGACAGCAAAATGCACTAGTGTATAATTAGATGAATTTGAGCTAATACACACAGTCAGGGCATGTTCCCTTCTCCTGCGGAGTGACACGAAAAAGGCACGTGGCCTCGGGTGTGGCTCTGCAGCATCACTAATCCTCTAAAAGGAGGGCAAAGCCAGGACCGGTTTGGCTCAATGGATAGAGCGTTGGCTTGGGGACTGAAGGGCCCCGGGTTCGATTACAGTCAAGGGCATGTACCTTGGTTGCGGGCATATCCCCAGTAGGGGGTGTGCAAGAGGCAGCTGATCGATGACCCTCTCTCACTGATGTTTCTAACTATCTCTCTCCCTTCCTCTCTGTACAAAAATCAATAAAAAATATTTTTTAAAAATGCATAAAAAAAATAATAAAAGGAGGGCAGAAGAGCTGTCAGTGGGTGTGTTAGGATAGGCAGTCAGATAACCACATCATTTGCCTTCCCTGCTGAGAATAGAGCCTTTAAAATACTAACTTCTCACTTTGTTGCTGAACAAGCCCAAGTTACAGAAATAGCAGCTTCTCTGTTCTTCAATAAGAGAAAAGGTGTTCCAACTGGTGTTACTCAGTGGTTGAGCATTGACTTATGAACATGGAGGTCATGGTTTGATTCCCTGTCAGTATACATGCCCAGGTTGCAGGCTCAATCCCCAGTGAGGGGCATGCAGGAGGCAGGCGATCAATGATTTTCTCTCATCATTGATGTTTCTCTCTCTCTGAAATTAAAAAAAAAATTTAAAAAAAAAAAATATATAGTAAGCCCTAACCAGTTTGGCTCAGTGGATGGTGTGTTGGTCTGCAGACTGAGGGGTCCTAGGTTCGATTCCGGTCAAGGGCATGTGCCTTGGTTGTGGGCACATCCCCAGTGGGAGTTGTGCAGAACACAGCTGACTGATGTTTCTCTCTTGTCGATGTTTCTAGCTCTCTATCCCTCTCCCTCCCTCTCTGTAAAAAAATCAATAAAATATATTTTAAAATATATATATTAAATGAAGAGAGAAGGTGGCATGCCCTTCTTGGGGAACATCCACTCACATCTTTTTTAAAGTAAATTTTCTTTCTCCTAAACTCCTAAGAATCCCCACGAGATTTGCAACCGGGGGCGAGGGGGGGGAAGAAGAGGGGGTTGGACAGTGGCAGATCATCTTGGGCTTACCCCCTGAACCTGTCTTTAAGGTCCCCTTTTTTTCTGACTTCCAAGTGAGCTAAAGAAGCCCCCAGTGGCTTGTTTCTTTCCTATAAGATTTCTAGACAATTGAAGTTGCATGCCTAGTGTCCTGTTGCTTCTTCTATCATAGGCTCTTCCTTGTTTTATTGTCCCCAGATTTAATAAATGTACTCTAAAAAAAAAGTGCAATGCATTGCAGGGCATTGATCATTCATTAATTCATTCACTTACCTGGTATTTGTTAAATTTTGATGGTGTGGTAGGCCTGTGTAGTTAAAAAGATGAGTAAGATAATCTTTTTCTCTAAGAAGCTACCAGGTAGTAGGGAAGAGACATGAAAACAATAGTTATAACACAAATGAAAGAAATAATGCAGTGCAATAATAGCTATGATAGAAATACTGCTAAGTGCTGCATGAAAGAAGTATAAAAGAGAAGTTTTTGTTTTTTGTAATTTCCTTGGAGTCAAGAAGATAAAAAATTGAACTTTTAATTTATATTCAGCTGTGTTGGAGTCAATAAAGATTAACAGCTACTTATATCTCTTGTTTTAAGTTAGAAAGTTAATTTGAGGGAGAAGTGTCATAAACCATTTGCTATACAAATGTTAGTACAATAATAATAGCTATTACCATTTATTGGGTTCTCACTATGTGCCAACTCCTGTTAAGTACTTCACATATATAATTTCATTTGATCTTCACAATGATCCTATAAATTAGGCATTATCATTTCTATTTTATATATGATAAGACTGAGGCTTGGAAAAGAAAAGCAACTTTGGTTTATGACTTTGTCTCCCCCTCCACCAATTATGTGGTAAAACCTGGTGTAGTTTCTTAGACATAACTGTCTACTATCTATCCCCAACTTTGTTTTTAAATAATGAAATTAAAATTTTATATGTCCCCTTGTGAAATTTGGGACTGCTTGCTATGTAGGTTTTGGAATCACAAATTTTAGAGATAGATGGGAAGTCTTGGGAATTCAGATTTCACAGGTGGAAGAAATCATTCCCGGAGGAGTTACATCTTAGCCAAGGTTAGCCAGTGCTCTGCTAGGTGATAGGCTTTTGTCTTCTAGGACAGTATTCTCCCTCCTGGGCTAAATGTTTTAGAATGTGCAGACTTTAGGATTTAATATAATCACATTTACTAAAAATTGCTAAACATTCTAGCCAACAACAAAATTATTAAAGACGAAACCAAATTAATTTTTTTTTAACTTAGGGACATAGTTTCTAGGTGATCATCAGCATTATCATTGAATTACTTGACAGAAATTTGATTCAATGAATGCCATGTACTGTCAAAGTGGGCAAGACACAGCACAACCCAGCAGTTCACAATTTAGTCAAGGGGGAGATGTGCCATAAAAGATTAAAATAATTGTGTCCACGTACGTACACAGATCTAGGGTGTAAAGCAGTAGTTCTCAACAGGGGGTAGGTCTTACCTCCAAACTGTCAGCAGATATTTGGCAATGTCTGGGGACATTTTTGATTGTCACAAATTAGGGGATTGTTACTGGTATCTAGTGAGCAGATGCTAAGCATCCCAACATTCACAGGATAGCCCTCCCACTCCCCCACAACAAACACTTAATCAGTCCAAACTATCAATAGGGCTGAAGTTGAGAAACCCTGGTATAGAGCCAGCAAAATCTTTTCTACAAGAAATAGGGCGAGGGTAAAGTTTGGGTGCTGGTTACAGCAGTTTAATGAAGAGATCATGATTGGATTTGGGGAAGGGTAATCTCACAGAAGGAACAGCATGTACAAGCCACAGAAGCATGGCATATTTTGGGCAACCCCAAACATGGGGCGGGGGAGGGAAAGAGTTGTGGGAATTAAGACTAGACAACTGGGCAGGACTTAGATATTCAAGAAAATATACTGAGTTAGAGGAATTACTGTAAGAAAAGCTATTTGGTTCTATGATGGTCACTCAGGAGCACAGTCTAGCCATGTATCTGTGAGTTAAAACTGATGAAAAAAGTTGTTTGAAATGAGGCTTTTCTCATTTTGCTTCCTTAGGGGTTTTCTAGTTCGGAAATGTGAATCTTAAGATTGGACTGCCAATAAATAAATAAATAAATAAATAAATAAATAAATAAATAAATATTAGACTGCCACCTGAAATCTAAATGAGTTGCTTTCCTCCCCCCACCCCCACACCCCTACTCCCCCAAAAATGTGGGCAGGTAGGCCATTCGAGTCAGGGTTTCTCTTTTTCTTAAGCTAATGATGATCAGAGCAACTGACAAACTGCCACGGAATCTGCCAAACCTCAGCGCGGCCTGGCCTCTTCTCTCCAGCTCCTGAGCTTTGTCCTCCTTCTGTCATGCTCTGAGTCCATTCTTAGCAAGCTTCCAGGTCCTGGTCTCCTGTGCCCTGGTGGCCTGATGACAGAACTTAAATGGAGGTGAGTTACTCTTCTAACTCAGCTGGCTTTCTAGGTATAATTTGGAAAACCCAATCAGAAGGGAGTATGCATTTTAGAGCATGAAGAGATAGTTAGGGAAATATTTAACTATGACAGCTTACATCTTCTATACTCCTCCAGGTCTTGAAATAACTGAAAATTTAGATAAGAGAGATTGTAGAAAAGTAATGAAACCTACCATAAACTTTTGGAAAAAAAAATTTTAAGAAAAATTAAGTGCTATAAAGATTTACTTTCCTTATTTGTGTCTTGCTTTGTTTTATATTGAAAAAGATTATTAAGGCCGAAACCGGTTTGGCTCAGTGGTAGAGTGTCGGTCTGCGGACTGAAAGGTCCCGGGTTCGATTCCGGTCAAGGGCATGTATGTTGGCTGCAGGCACATCCCCGGTAGGGAATGGGCAGGAGGCGGCTGGTCGATGTTTCTCTGTCATCGACGTTTCTGGCTCTCTGTCTCTCTCCCTTCCTCTGTAAAAAATCAATAAAATATATTTTAAAAAAAGATTATTAAGTATAACTTGGTATTTTATATTTAAAGCAAAGTTGATTTTCAGAGGTTAAAGATTTTTAGTTGGATTTCTTTGATATCCTTTCAAAGCTAAATAAAGGAAATAATATTTTGAATTAACGGTTCTCTAGATAGATAAAATACAATGTTTGTTTATATAAGAAAGCTGGAAAAACTTGCTAAAACTTATCAACAAGAAATTTTAACACAAATCCTTATGATTTAACACAAATCCTCATTAGAGCTATCATTTCCATCAGTTTCCACTTCTTACAAGTTTGATTTAAATGAATATTAATCATTAACATGAGGTTCTAATTTCCCCGGCTGGGATTTTCTCCTCCTCTTCTCTGTCCTTAACTGTTGGAACAGTTATAAGTATTATTTTAATAATTTCTAGAGAAAAAAAATACACTGTTGCCTATTCCTACCACACTCTGAAAAGCAAAACATGACCTAAAATATGCAACAGTGCCCTTAAAAAGCAACAGGTCCCCTTAAATATTTTAGGATTCATGATTTCAAAAGTTCACAATCCAAAATTTCTCAGGAAAAATCTCCACAACTCTGGGGGAAATCAGGTATCTCTTCCACAGGTTTCCAAGGATTTCATTGCTCTACTTCTTGCCTTTGCTCTGCTCTATGAGAACGTCCAAGGTTAATGGGAGAAAGTGGATGTGCTTCTTCAGAAGATGATTCCTGCAAGTCACAGGCTTTACACAGACAAATATCAATCCTTGACTTGAATTTCCCTCCCTATGCCCCAAGGTTAAGCTTTCACTAAGGGGCTGGCAGTGGTGTGATTTCTTAAGGTTTCTAGGTAGAGAAATTTCAGAATCTTCTTTGGTTTCCAATTCTATTCCTCCCTCTAAAGAGTAGTGGGAAGTTGTTCTAGTTATTTTGCCTCACAAAGTTGGTCCATTTAATAAATTCAATTGCAGAAAACATTGATTGGTTCTCTGCTGACACAAAGATTAGGATAATGGACTTTAGGGTCAAATAAATAGTTCAAATTCAGGCTCCTTCACTTAATTCCTGAGTGACCCTAGCAAGTTATGCAACCTTCTTAAGCTTTAATTTCTTTAAAAATGGCATAATAATACTCATCTCACAAGGATTTTTTTTTAAGTCCTTTGGCTTTATTTTTCTGGGATAAAAAAGTATAGGCATACATGTTTCTCTATGGTCCTTATGAATATATCCTTTAAAATAATTTATGAAATAGTTTAATTCATGTATCTTGATTATCGGTATTCAAGCAGTTCTTTGTTATTTTTTTGATTTTATCTTCCTCACTGTCAGCCTTGATTAATTGGTTGAAAATTTCAGATCAGAATAAGTAATTTATGAATATTTCCCCAATCCCTTAGAAACATAATCACAGAAATAAATTATACCTTCATCAGAAATCATTGGAACGTAGATGTGTTCATTCACTATTAAAAGGGCAAGGATCTGTGTCATAGAGGATTAATCTGTGTAAACTGGCTTCCACCAGTAAAGACATTTTCTGAAAATCACAGATGTCAGAAAAAAACACACAAAGGAAAATGACAGGTTTCTGGTCAAGATGACGGTGTAGGTAAAAGCTTCCCACAACCACTTCAAAATTACAACTCAACTACAGAACAACTTCCTGACTGGTCTGGCTCAGTGGATAGAGCATCAGCCTGCGGACTGAGGGGTCCCGGGTTTGATTCCGGTCAAGGGCATGTACCTTGGTTGTACAGGCAACTGATAAATGTTTCTCTCTCATTGATGTTTCTAACTCTCTATCCCTCTCCCTTCCTCTCTGTAAAAAATTAATAAAATATATTTTTTAAAAATAAATAAAATAAACTACAGAACAACCATCTTTCAGAACTACCTGAAATCTAGCTGACAAAAGTCCTAAGGTAAGGATATAAAGACAAGTAGGAAAGGGGGAATTGCTGCAAGGGCTAATCGCACATCCATGTGTGATGGATAACGATCAGGAGGGATATCTGGGCTGTGGAGGTCCTCCCTGAGGAGCAAGGGGTCCCAGCCCCACACTAGGCCCCCAGCCCAGGGTTCCAGTGTCAGGAAGAGAAGTCCCCATAACTTTTGGCTGTTAAAAACCAGCCTCCTGTGTTTGTTTCTGTGTATTAGGGCTGCTACTTCTCCCAGGCTTGGCAGAGTGGCCTATTGTAAGTGTCCTGTAGGGTCCAGTGGCACAGCCTCCCTGTTCACTCAAGCTGGGCACTCCAGGCAGGTCCCCTCCCCCAACCCCCATATGGGCTGTGTACACTCTCCTGCTGTAGTTGAGCCTTAATTGCTGTTGGCTCAGTTGGTTGGAGCATTGTCCAAAATACCAAAATGTTGTGGGTGCAGTTCTTGGTCAGGGCACATTCCTAGGTTGTAGGTTTGATCCCCAGTTGGGTTATATATGGGACGTAATTGATCAATGTTTCTTCTCTCCCCCCCCCCCCCCCCGCCCCATCTCTCTCTCCTTTTCCTCTCTCTCAAAAACAATTAACATATCCTCAAGTAAGGATAAAAAAAAAGAAATATTATTACTCATTATTGAAATAGAACTTGTTGAAAATGGTACTTGATTTCTGTGGTCTTTTTTTTTTTTTTTTTTGCAAAAATATCACAATACTAGGATAATCCAAATTGAGAGACACTTTACAAAATATCTGGCCAATACTCCTCAAAACTGTCAAGGCTATCAAAAACAAAGTCTGAGAAACTGTTACAGCTCAGAGGAGCTTAAGCAGACAAGACAACTGAAAAATGTAACGTGAAAGCTTGGATGAGATTCTGGAACAGAAAAAGGATATTATGGAAAAACAGGAAATCTGAATGAAGTATGGAGTTTAGGGAATAAGGGGAAAAAAATGACATAGACCATTCTTGCTGTAGGAATGATCATGTGAAACAACATAACCTTTGTCCTTGGAGTTCCAGTGAAGCTTCTGAACTACATCTGTGCCCAAACTGCCGCTGTACTAGTATAAGACTGACAGGCAGGTCAACTAAATGCACTCATTCCACACCAGATAACCAACAATCGTCTGCACCAGAAGGTTTGTTTGCCCTGAGTTTTGGGTTGTATTCAGTAGGAAAGGATGGTCTAAATAAACATATCTAATGTGACCATATCAAAGATGAGTAATGCTCTACATATTTGTACAGGGTGGGGCAAAAGTTAAGTTTACAGTTGTGAGTATGCAAAACAGTTTATTCTTGTATTAGTATTTATAATTATTGTGTTATTTTTCACAAGAACAACTGTAAACCCACTTTTGCCCCACTATTCAAAAAGGTTGTTTGCTGGGAGTTTGCCACAATAGAAAGTCCTAAACATCTCAGAATCCAAGTACAAGGCCAGCCTGGTTTAATCTGATGATGCAATGCCCTGTAGGATTCAGAGAGTGAATTTATAATGAAGGTAAATAGCAATGCCATAAAACTGCTGTGAAATATAACATTGTCTCAAACAAGCATTCTTTTGGCTTTACTGAACCACTGATAGAAGGCAAAGCAGGCCGAAGCCGGTTTGGCTCAGTGGTAGAGCGACGGTCTGCGGACTGAAAGGTCCCAGGTTTGATTCCGGTCAAGGGCATATACATTGGTTGCAGGCACATCCCTGGTGGGGGGTGTGCAAGAGGCAGTTGGTCGATGTTTCTCTCTCATCGACGTTTCTAACTCTCTGTCCTTCTCAATTCCTCTCTGTGTAAAATCAATAAAATATATTTTAAAAAATGGTAAATTAAAATTTTTGATGTGCAACAGAACCATGGGAAATAAGACTATAGATGTGGGAACCCTTAACACGACCCGTGGTTCAGGGCCCACTCAGGGTCCGGTTTCTGGAGGAGGCCACACACTAAAATGAAGAGACAGTAAAGCAACAAGCAGACTGTCAAATTACAGTGGGGAGGGGAGGGAGATCTGGGGGAGATAATAGATCAACCGAAGGACTTGTATACATGCATATAAGTACAAACCAATGGACATAAAAACTCTGGGGAGGGAGGGTATGTATGGGAGGGAAGGAGGGGGGCAAAAAAAAATCAAAATAAAGAAAGGAAGAAAGAAAGAAAGAAAGAAAGAAAGAAAGAAAGAAAGAAAGAAAGAAAGAAAGAAAGAAAGAAAGAAAGAAAGAAAGAAAGGAAGAAAGAAAAAGAAAAATAAATAAATAAAATGAAGAGAGAGCCAAAACCGGTTTGGCTCAGTGGTAGAGCGTCAGTCTGCGGACTGAAAGGTCCCGAGTTCGATTCCGGTCAAGGGCATGTACATTGGTTGCAGGCACATCCCTGGTGGGGGGTGTGCAAGAGGCAGCTGGTCGATGTTTCTCTCTCATCGACGTTTCTGGCTCTCTATCTCTCTCCCTTCCTCTCTGTAAAAAATCAATAAAATTAAAAAAAAAAAAAAAGAAGAAGGCAAAGCAGGGTCAAATGGTGGAGAGTTATGATAGGACTTTATGAAAATATGGAAAACAGCAACT